ACCAGAATGTAGTGATGTAGGGTTAGTTAGCGTAGGAGCTCCACTACAATCAATATTTAATGACGGGTTCTCTCTTTTTCGAGCTACTTGACAGATATGTGACAGAGATACTGTGTGGGAGATGGTCTAAAAACCAGTGACATGAGACGTTAATTTTCTTTGACCCATCAAAATGAATGTGGTCATTTATTAACAGAATCAAAGTTTAACATCAAACATTGTACACTTGATTATTCTGATTGAAGGCAATAACACAGCTTAATTAATGAGCTTTACAATGAGAAATCATACGGCCATGATTTCTCACTTGCAACTAAAATACAACAGACATTTCTGAAAAGTATCTGGATTAATTACTGGCAAGATAGAAGAGTTTTAAAGATGGGAAATGAAGGAGTCTAAATGGAGGGGGAAAAGATGGATGAGGATGTATGTCTGTAGACCAGAGCAACACGCTCCTTTGAAGCGCAGTTCGCCCGCGGTACACTGGTAGTGAAGCTCATGGCGACTCTTTACCTTTGGCGGAGGATGAATCCGCGGCGGTCAAGAGGTCCCTGGTACACTACCTTTCAGCGTCTCCTCAGGGCGGCTGCGACTCGGCAGAAGTCGTGAGAACTAGTTCCACGGAACAAACCTCCTCAGAAGTTATGAAGTTTTCACCGGGTGGAGTCACAGCGAGGCATCGTGGCTCCTACAGGAACTCCAGCCGAACTTCATCAGTACCAGAAGAACTTAACGGGACTCTGAGAAGACTCAGAGGAACTCAGAACTTCTGTTCTCTCCCAGAACTTTGGTTCACGTCTCAGAACTCCGGTTCATGTCTCAGAACTCTTCTGTTCGGTTCTGCTCTCAGAACTGCCTGGAACTAGGAAGTGTCGACATTTAAAGAGTTCTGTTTCCGGTCCCTTCTGGGAGTCCTGATTGGTTGAAAGAACCAACAGGGGTGTGGTTTTAGTGACGTAAGAGGTTACTACAAGTCAGAAAAACAGTGAGATGTTTTAGGAACAGACAGAGAAATGTTTTGGCGAAGTGGGAGGAAACAGATGCCACCAGTTTCTTATTTCTGTCTGATAGGTTTAAAAACATGACAGTTCGTTCCAATAAACTTGTTTGCGACTGTCTCCGACTTTTGACCAACATCACTACTTCTCATTTCAGACGGAAGATCAAAAAATGCATGATTACTCTGTAACAGACATTAACTTGATTTCTACTTTGAATGAGGATTAAAAAATCATTAATACTGTTTCACAGTTGATTTAAAATGAGTAGTTCACTTCAACATTTAAAATGGTTTGAACTAAACATCTTTTGATTATCAAGACATTTGTAAAAATAGTAATGACAATATAAAAGAGAGTGTTCTTTCAATTGATTAGTTCAGGATACAAATTAGAAAGTCTCTGGAGTAGCTAATTTGTTATTTCTGGATTCAAATCAATGAAATAACAGTTTCTGTCCCATGAAGGTCTTTAGGGTCAGGTTTTGACCTGAGGCTTAGTTCCCTACACGTCTGAGCTTGTGGAGCTTGCTTAGAAATGGCTTCCTCTTTGCACTGTAGAGTTTCAGCTGGCAACGGCGGATGGCACGGTGGATTGTGTTCACTGACGATGCTTTCTGGAAGTTTTCCTGAGCCCATTCTGTTATTTCCTTGACAGTGGCATTCCTGTTTGAGGTGCAGTGACGTTTAAGGTCCTGAGCTTCCAGTAGAGTTTTACGGCCTTGACCCTTACGCACAGCGATTGTTCCAGATTCTCTGAATCTTTTGATGATGATTTGCACGGTTGATGACGATAACTTAAAAGTCTTTGCTATTTTACGCTGGGTAACACCATTCTGGTATTGCTGCACTATCTTTCTGCGCAACAACGGTGGAATTGGTGATCCGCTTACCATCTTGGCTTCTGAGAGACACTGACACTCTGAGAAGCTCTTTTTATACCCAATCATGTCAATTGACCTAATTAGTGTTAATTGGTCTTCCAGTTGTTCGTTATACCATATCATACCATACCAATTTATTTATAAAGCACTTTAAACAGTGACAAAACACACCAAAGTGCTGTACAGGGACAAACAGAACAAGCACATAGCAACAGATTACATAACAGGACACCAAAAAGTAGAAACCAACAAAAACAATAATGGATAACAACAACAACCGCAACATGACTAACACAGTGTGATGCACACAGACTCAGCACAGATAACACAGTGCAGAAAGCCAGGGAATAAAAGTGTGTTTTTAAGCGAGATTTAAAAACTGTGAGGGAGGGGGCCTGTCTAACGAGCAGAGGTAACTCATTCCAATATGCTCATATTCCATATGTTATATGCTCAATTTCCTTTTTCCAGCCACTTATTGCTACTTGTCCCAACTTTTTTGGGATTTGTTGACACTGTGAAACTTTGAATCAACATATTTTTCCTTTAAAATGTTAGATTTACTCAGATTAAACTTTTAATCTGTCATCTATGTTATATTATGAATAAAATATTGACATTTGCCATCTCTACATCATTGCATTTAGTTTTTATTCACAATTTGTTTAGTGTCCCAACTTTTTTGGAATCCGGTTTGTATATGAGAATAAAAATAACCCTAGGTTTCTGTTTAGTACTATTGCTAGACTCATTAAAAGTCCCATTTCTGTTGAACCATGTATCCCTACAACTATAAGTAGTGATGATGTCATGAGATTCTTTATAAATAAAATAATTTCAATTAGAGAGAAAATTCAAACCATCCTTCCTTCTACTATCTCTAGTCCCCTGTCAAATGAGACAACTTTAAAAATTTCACTAGAGCCTGATTCGTGTTTAGACTGTTTTTGTCCTGTTGAGCTCTCTGAATTGTCAAAATAATAGCCTCATCCAAACATCCACATGTCTGTTAGGTCCCATCCCTACCAGACTGTTTAAAGAGGTATTTCCCCTAATTAATGTCCACATTTTGGATCTACTTAATTGGTCTTTAATGAATGGTTACGTACCACAGTGCTTTAATGTTGCTATAATTAAACCTTTACTTAAGAAGTCTGACCTTGATTCAGAAATTCTGACCAACTATAGACCTATATCTAACCTAACTTTCATTAAAAAAAAAATTCTAGAGAAAATAGTTGCAGGTCAGTTTCGTGAATATCTACAAAGAAATAATCTGTTTGAAGAGTTTCAGTCAGGGTTTAGAGCACATCATAGCACAGAAACAGCACTAGTAAAAGTCACTAATGATATTCTCATGGCCTCAGACAATGGATTGTGTCTCAATACTGGTCCTGTTAGACCTCAGTGCTGCATTTGATACAGTTGATCACAATATTTTACTACAGAGTCTTGAATATGATATTGGGATTACAGGAACAGCTCCAAAATGGTTTAAATCATATATATCTGATAGATTCCAGTTTGTAAATGTAAATAATAAATCTTCTTCATACACCAAAGTTAGTCATGGAGTTCCTCAGGGCTCAGTGCTTGGACCAGTACTCTTTACTTTATATATGCTTCTGTAGCCCCTGGTTAAAAACCAGGAACTTAAGTTTTGAATATTCACAAAATATTTACAACAGTGTTGGTATTATGTATATAAAAGTATAAGTGAGAGACTTGTATTATTATTTTTGTAAAAGGATGATCCAAGTGATTATATACAACCAGGAAGTAATTACTTTTGTAATTAACGGGAGGAAAAGGGGAAAAGTAGAAAGCCTCTGTTTTTGAAGGCGACTTGTGTGTTTACATAAGTGTATTCTTGTTTGACTAATTATTTGATTAGTCTAAAAACTGAACGGAGTGTCCTAGTTATAAAAGTGGTTTAAAATAACGAGGGACAATTGAACTCACGAGTGGGAAAAGAAAAGGAGAGAGGAGGAGAAAAAAGAAAAAAAGAACAGATGGAGTTGGCAGCTAGCAGGTGAGAGACGGAGAAAGAGTTGAACTGTTCAATTCAATTCAATTCAGTTTATTTTTATAGCGCCAAATCACAAAAAAGTTGTCTCTGGGCACTTTACAAGAACATTCACATACATAAAAGCCAATTAGTAAAGTTTTCTATCTAAGGAATCCAGCAGACAAGTTGAATCTTGGCTTTGTTGCAGTCTCCCATCCTGAGCAAGCACAGTGGCAACAGTGGAAAGGAAAAACTCCCTTTTAAAAGGAAGAAACCTCCAGCAGAACCAGGCTCAGAACAAGCGGCCATCTGCTTTGACCGGCTGGTTGAGAGGACAGGAAGGAGAGACAGACGAACATAGAATGGTAGGTCCAGGTATAGGTCTAGGTGTATCTGAAAGACAAAAAAAACACATGTTAAGGATAGAAAAAATAATTACAAATACAAAACAGGTTTAGCAGAGTAAGTAAAGACAGTAACAGAGTGAAAAGTGTGGTCAGTTTGTCCTCCAGCAGTCTAAGCCTATAGCAGCATAACTAAGGGACAGCTTAGGAAACCCAAGCCGACCCTAACTATAGGATTTAGCAAAAAGGAAAGTCTTAAGCCTAGTTTTAAAACTGGATAATGTGTCAGCCTCACGGACAGAGATTGGAAGTTTGTTCCACAAAAGAGGAGCCTGATAACTAAAAGATATGCCTCATATTCTGTTTTTGTAAATTCTAGGAACCACAAGTAAACCTGCAGTCTGAGAGCGAAGTGCTCTGTTAGGAAAATATGGAACAATAAGATCTGTAATATAGGATGGAGCCAGGTTGTTGAGAGCTTTGTAGGTTAGAAGTAAGATTTTTAATTCAATTCTGGACTTGACTGGGAGCCAATGGAGAGATATGATCTTTCCTACTAACTCCGGTTAAGACTCTGGTCTGAACTGTTCTGTGGGTTCTTCTGCACAAGTTACTGCGATTAGGACATCTTCAGAAATGTGTTGGAGAAGGAAGTGAAGAGCACGGAGGAGAACTGCTGCTGAGTTGAGGAAAACTGCGGCTGATCCAAGGAGTCGAGATGAACGTGTTATCATGGCGACACGTGCTACAGTGCGGCTGAGAAGTTGTTAAGCGACCCTTGTGGTGGGGGGGTGTTAAAGTTGGACTCGCAAAGCATCCGTGACGGAGAGGACGTCAGCTGAGCGAGCAGGTGTGACCTTTTATCAGAGTCAGAGATTCTTTATTGTCATTCGCACCTCATGTGGTACATGTGGTGGAGCGAAATTATGTACACAGGGTCCCAGTTACATCCAACAATAAAATGTATAAGAAAAACAGTAATAACATCTAAGATATGAACTAAGAAAAACATCAACTAAATATACACTAAGCACTCATAACATAAAAACATTGAACATCAGCACAAACATGAACATGAGTCTGTGTGAGCAGATGAGCACGCATGAACACATCAACATTTAAACAGATCAGCAGCAACATGATGTGGTTTTTCACAGTGATTATTCTAGTTAGAGATTCATGAGTCTAACAGCCTCAGGGTAGAAGTTGTTCCTCAGTCAAGTGGTTCTACACTTAATGCTCCTTAACCTCCAGCCTGAGGGGAGTGGGGCAAAAAGTGTGTGTGCTGGGTGAGTGAGGTCCTTCATGATGCAGGTGGCCCTCTTCCTGCATCTGGAGGTGTAGATGTCTGTGATGGTGGGGAGGCTGACTCCGACATACTTCTGTGCAGCCTTCACCACTCTCTGCAAAGCTTTTCTTACGGCAGCTGTGCAGCCTCCATGCCACACGTTGATGCTGGAGCACAGGATGCTCTCCACTGCACACCTGTAGAAGGAGGTGAGGACTGACCTTCCCAGACCAGCTCGCCTCAGCCATCTGAGGAAGTAGTCTCTGATGAGCTTTCTTGATCAGGCTGGTGTTGTTGTTGTTGCTCCAGCTGAGGTTGTCATTCATGTGTACACCCAAGTACTTGTAGCTGGAGACCACTTCCACCACAGATCCTCTTATGTTCAGGGGGATGTAGATGTTTTTGTTCCTTCTGAAGTCCACAATCATCTCCTTTGTCTTCTTCACATTGATGTGAAGGTTATTCTCTTTGCACCAGCTCGCCAGGTGTTCCACCTCTTGCCTGTAGCTGGACTCATTAGTGATGCATCCCACTTCCGCTGTATCATCTGCAAACTTCACAATGTGACAGCCCGGAGGAGTAGCCGCACAATCATACGTGAGCAGAGTAAACAGGAGGTGGCTCAACACACATCCCTGAGGAGAGCCAGTGCTGAGGGTTATGGTGGAGGAGGAGAAGTTGTAGATCCTCACTAACTGTGGTCCGTTTGTTAAGAAGTCTAGTACCCAGTTGCAAATAGAGGGGCCCAGTCCCAGTGTGGATAGTTTGTCCATCAGGGTTTGGGGGATCATGGGGTTGAAGGCGGATGTGAAGTCCACAAAGAGCATATGGACGTAAGAGTTTTTCTGCTCCAGGTGGTTGAGCGCAGTGTGGACCACAGAGGAGATGGCATCCTATGTTGATTGGTTCTCACGGTATGCATACTGATGAGGGTCCTCGTTGATGTTGATGGTTGTTTTGATGTGAGTCATGACCAGTTTTTCAAATCATTTAGCAACTATCAGGGTGAGGGCCACTGGCCGATAGTCATTCAGACCAGTCACTGTAGAGCTTTTGGGGACTGGGATGATAGTGGCTGTCTTCAGGCAGGTGGGAACTGTCTCCAGGGTAAGTGAGGTGTTAAAGATGTCTGCCAGCACCTCGCAGAGCTGATCAGCACATTCCTTCAACACTTTTCCGGGGATGTTGTCTGGGCCAGTTGCTTTGTGCGGATTAATCCTCCTGAAGGTACTCCTAACTTCTGCTGAGGTCACGCTGAGATGCTCTTCATCCGGTGGTGAGGTGAGTCTGGTGCTGGGTGGTCTGTTCGGGTCTTCAAAACGTGCATATAACTTGTAGAGGGCATCATGCAGAGATGGGTCTTTGGGGCATTGTTCGCTCCTTCCTTTATAATCTGTTATGCACTTAAAGCCCCTCCACATGCTCCGAGGGTCTTGTGAGATGAATTGACCCTCAATCCTCTGTGCATATGTGGCCTTGACCTTCTTAATACCAGCAACCAGCTCTTTCCTTGTCCTACTCAGCTCCTCTAAGCTTCCAGACCTAAAGGCAGTGTTCCTGGCTTCCAGCAGGGTACGCACCTCTGCATTCAGCCAAGGTTTTCTGTTTGCGTAGCTTTTAACATATCTGATAGTGGAGACGGTGTCAGTACATGTACTAATGTAACCCAGAACTGAGGATGTGTATTGGTCCAGATCAAGCGATCCTCCATTTTTAGCAGCTTCTCTGAAAACCTACCAGTCTTTTCGGTCAAAACAATCTCTCAGTATGGGGCCACTGTCCTGGATCCAACATTTAACTTTCTTTTGTACCGGTCTGGAACATCTCAGCGGGGGCATTTAAGCAGGAGCCAGGAAGATTGAGATGTGGTCTGACAGTCCTAGGTGGGGGCGGGGTTCGGCTTTGTATGCATTTTTTACATTCATGTAAACACGGTCCAGTGTCTTGTCTCCACGTGTTGGTAAAAGCTTGGGAGACAGTCCTTTAGATTCACGTGGTTAATGTCTCGGCTACAACGTAAAGAGCTTTGGGGTGTTTGCTCTGCAGCGAGCTGATGATATCATGAAGCTCCTGCAGTGATTCATTAGCATTAGTGTCCGGAGGAATGTAAACGACCGTGATGAAAGTCACTGTGAACTCGTGGGGTAGATAATGTGGCCGACATTTCACTGTTATTTGCTCCAAAGCTTTCGAGCATGAGCTATTTACAACAGTACAGTTTGTGCACCAACTTTTACTCACGTAAATGCACACTCCGCCTCCCCATGATTTCCCCGTTAGCTCGCTGCAGCGGTCCGCTCGAAAAAAAAGTCTGTCATCCATCTGGAAGACTGTATCCAGTGTTTCACTTGTAATCCACGTTTCTGTGAGGCAAAGCACCGCACACTTCTTCATCTCTTCTGAGGCGCCCGCTCTCAGACGAAATAAATCCATCTTGTTGTCCAACGAGCGGAAGTTCGACAGAAAGAGAGACGGCATGGGGAGTTTTCCCGGCTTTAGCGTTAGCTCGTAGCCTCACCATAACCCCCGCCCGGCATCCTCTCCTCTTAAATCGGGAGCAGCGCTTCCTCTTCTGCCCGCTGGAACGCCTCTGCTACAGCTTTCAGGTAGATGACTTTAAGATCTGCATTCTGCCGAGTGTAGTTTTGAGTCTTTTGCTGATTTCTGCTATATTTCATGGCAAATCCGCTCCTATTCTCATAAGTTCGGTTTGGCTATAGTTCACACGCATAGATCACGCGTAGTCAGGCACAGAGTCAATATCAAAACTTCTAAAAACTGGGATGGTACCTGGAGCCTGTGAAGCTGCTACTGCTCTGAGCGCAGCCATCTTTTATATTGTTCAAACGGAGAGAAGAAGATTTTCACCGGCAGCAGCGTACCCCCGCATTAACAGGCCTGCCACGAAAACTTAAAACGGTACCAGACAGTGTGTGTGTGTGTGTGAGAGTGTGGGCCCACGTGAGTTATTGGGTTAAAGTTTAAAACTGTATTTTTGTCGGCAAATGTATGGAGTTCTAAAAAAAAAAAAAAAAAACAGAACAAAACAAAGGTATATTGGATAAAAAATAAGGGACTGAAACAAAAAGTGTTCCGTTTTTTATTTTATGTTGGGGAGACATTTAACTATGGGAAGTAAGGGCATGTTTTTATGATACGTTTTGGGTAAGGTTTTTTTGTATGGTGTAGCTTAATTTGGAGCTGAGCAATTAAGAGTTACACGTTCTTATTAAAATAAACTATTTTTGGTTATCTGGAGTTATTTAAGTTAAATCACAGATGTGTATAGCATATGGTAATTAGGAGAGTAAATATTGACTCAACATAGGTAAACCTGCATGGTATCTACCAGAAATGTAACGAACCCAAACAGCTACCCACCAGTTAGTTTAAGTTCTTGTCCCAGTTAAATGCAGACAGAGCAGTGGGGTGCTACATAAAATGGAGGCACCGCTGGGATTTTTTTGATTGTACCTGTGTAAAAACAGTATTTTACCCAGACAACCAGTTTTTTTTTTTGTTGTTGTTTTTTTTAACCCATAAAAAAACCTTCTTTATGGCCAGTTTGAGCAAAGGTAAGCCACAAAGAGTGACAAAAAGTTGCAAAAGTTGCTTCATATTTTTGATAAGCACAGTTTAAGACATGTTTTCATTAGAGATTAGTCGTGTTTTTATTTTGGGGGAAAAGACAGGATGGCTCAGTTACCACACTGGTGTAAGGGAGAGGGAATTAATACTTTACTGCAGTTTTGGTTAAAAAATATCCCTGAAGACACAGAAGTTAGTGTCATAGAAGACACTTTGCAGACAATCAAGGTTCTGGGATGTGTTAGAGTTAGAGGGAGAATGTATCTCAACGTGTCTGTATCTGTGTCTCAACGTCTGACAGTTCTTTGTGAGTGTATGGAAACAGTAAATGCTAAAGTCATTCCTGTTGAGGTAACTCCAGAAAGTAGTGATTCTCCTTGGAGGATCATTGGGCCGTCAGGGGTGGAGGATGATAGTACAGCCCCGAGGGGGATAGATTCTCCACAAACGCCAAAACAAGGCATGAGTCAAAATTCACTTTTACAAGCATCTAGCCCAGAGGCTATAATCAGAGCAGTTGGTGATGTCTTGCAGCTCACTTCAAGACCCACTGGTGACAGTGGCAGCTAGAGACGACTCCGAACCTTTTCGGGAGTGCTTCCCACACCTCAAAGAGAAGAGCATTTGGAGAACTGGCTAGAGCAAGCTAGACTGATGATGGAGGAGTCAGACAGGCCTGGCAGAGAAAAAAAGATTAGGATAATGGAGAGTGTAAAAGGTCCTGCCATGGAGATCGTTCAAGCTGTGAGGTTCAACAACCCTGATGCGACGCCCACAGAATATCTGGATGTTATTGAAAACACCGTTGGCACAACAGAGACTGCTGAAGAGCTATACTTTGATTTCAGACTGATGTGCCAACACCCAGCTGAGAAACTATCAGAGTTTCTGAGGAGAATGGAAAGAGTTCTGAATAAAGTGGTCCAAAAAGGGGGTCTGCCACCTTCATCCAAAGACAAGGCACGCATTGAGCAACTCATCAAAGGTGCCACAAGGTCTGACATGATGTTGCTAAGTCTCAGACTAAGAGAGAGGAGAAGTGCTCCACCCACATTCCTGGAGCTTCTGAATGAGATACGCATGGAGGAAGAGCATAAAGCATCACGTCGTCGATTAAATCCCCCTAAATCTGTACACGTAAAAAGTAATGCTGCAGCAGTTATGGACTTAAAAGATCTTGCTGTGGAGGTTTAACAGCTGAGGACACAGGTTTGTGAACTCAAAGCTTTGTCCCTGCTGCGCCATTCACCTTCTCCTGGACCCCAACTGGTAGTTAGGGCAGAAATAAGCAGCTCAGGAGAGGATGGAAGCCTTCAAGCTTTCAAGAGAGAGGTGATAAAGCTGAAAAAACAAGTTTCAGTAATGTCAGTTCAGTCGACCGCAAGACCAGAAGACAATCCAGTCCACTCAGACCCCTCTCAAAGTCATGAGATGCCAAAAGCGGCTATGCACAGAGAACCCTGTGACATCTTCTGTTACCATTGTGGTGAAGATGGGCACATTTCCATTGAATGTAGGGCACCCGAAAATTATACAAAAGTCATACAAAAGTTGATTCAGGCCCAGAAGAGGGGAAAACCAGGTCATAGATACACCAGCCCTTATCCTGAGGTGAAAAATGCTAGTGTGAAGAGAAGTGCAGTGAGCCTACAGATCAATGATCTGTCCAAATTACTAGTAGGACCACCCTCTACCGTTCATGTTAAAATAAATGGAACACCATGCACTGCCCTCTTGGACAGTGGCTCTCAGGTCACGATCATTTTTGACAGCTGGTATGTTGAACACTTATCATGTGTTCCCCTATATCCAGTGTCAGATTTAGCCATCTGGGGTTTAAGTGAGTCTGAGAGCAGTTACCCATATAACGGCTATATTCAGGTAGACTTGGACTTTTAAGAGAAGGCATCACACAAAGGGAAATCAGTTTCCATTTTTGCTTTAGTATGCCCAGACCCACGTTGCTCAGACACCATCCTGGTTCTAATTGGAACCAATGTTAGCAAAGTGTTGTCCCTCCCTTCAAACCTGAAAACAGCCATTCCAGACACCATTCATGCTGCACGAGTAGGTGTAACAGAGCAAGAACTCGCTGATGGAGTAGATCTCAACCCTAAAGAGACAAATCACAGCAATGTTACAGTGGCTGATGTTAAATGGATAGGCCCAGGGCCACTAACGATTCCTGCTGGTGGTGAGCATATAGCCATTTGCAAAGTCATTGAAAACAAGAGAGTGAAAGACAGTATTCTCATCTCCGAGCGTGGTTTCACATGGGCTCCCGAAAAGTTTCTTTGTGCCACCCACAGTCTTATTCTCCAAGATGTTGGATAAAGACAAGTTTTTGGTGTTCATGCACAATGAGTCTCTGAAAGAAACTGCCATACCTACTGGCACAGTAGTAGCTCATCTTTATGTAGTTGACACAGTGACTGAAATCCCAAATACCAAGATACCAAATCCTAAAAAACTTGATCCATCACAATTCAATTTTGAAGACCACTCTACTCCTATCGAGTGGAAAGAGAGACTGAAAGAAAAACTCGCTGAACGATCCCATGTATTCTCAACTGAGGAGGGGGATGTGGGGTTAGTATCTGAAGTGGAACACCACATAAGACTAACTGACAACGCACCATTCAGAGAGCGGTCACGGCATATAGCACCTGCTGATGTAGACCTTCGTCACCATCTTCAGGGGCTTCTAGCTGCTAGAATAATCAAAGAATCCAGAAATCCTTATGCCTCACCTATTGTGCTGGCATGAAAGAAAAATGGACAAATTTTCATGTGCGTTAATTATCGTACACTGAACCACAGAACAATTCCCGATCAGTATATGGTGACCCGCATCGATGACGCTCTGGACTGTTTGTCTGAAAGTAAATGGTTCTCAGTGTTAGACTTAAGGAGTGGATATTACCAGATTCCAATGGCTGAGGAGGATAAGGAAAAAAACGCTTTCATCTGTCCTCTGGGATTTTTCCAATTTGAAAGGATGTCTCAGGGAATTACTGGTGCTCCTTCAACATTCCAACGACTCATGGAAAAGGCAGTTGGGGACATGCACATGCTGGAGGTGATAGTATATCTAGATGACCTGATAGTTTTCGGGAAATCTTTGGAGGAGCATGAGCAAAGGCTTCTAAAAGTCATCGACCGATTAGGGGAAACTGGACTGAAATTATCACTAGATAAATGCCAGTTTTGCAGACCCCAAGTGACATATGTTGGACATGTGGTGTCTGAACAAGGCATTGCCACAGATCCAAGTAAAGTGGAAGCAGTTGCCCACTGGAAACAACCCACCGATCTTCCATCCCTCCAATCCTTTCTAGGATTTAGCGGATATTATTGGCGGTTCATCAAAAATTATTCATTCATTGTTAGACCATTAACCGAACTATGCAAGGGATATCCACCAACTCAAAAAAGTGGAAATCAGCAAAGTATCCCAGAAAACCCTACTACAATGTCAGTGAACCCTTTGGAGAAAGATGGGACGATAGCTGCACAGAGGCTTTTCAACAGATTCTCAAATGCCTCACCCAGGCGCCAGTTTTAGCATTTGCTGACCCGTCAAAGCCCTATGTACTACACATAGATGCAAGTTTTCATGGTTTGGGGGCAGTGCTAAACCAAGAACATCCTGAAGGATTGAGATCAGTCGCTTTTGCCAGCAGAAAGCTCAGTTCTTCTGAAAAGAACTATCCAGTACATCAGTTAGAGTTTTTAGCACTCAAATGGGCCGTGGTGGATAAATTTCACGATTACCTGTATGGCGCAGAATTTGTTGTAAGGACAGATAACAACCCCCTTACATATATCCTTACCACCGCCAAACTAAACACCACCGGTCACCGTTGGCTCGCAGCTCTTTCAACCTATAACTTCACACTGCAGTCTCGGACAGGCGCTAGCAATGCTGATGCAGATGCATTGTCACACAACCCTGTTTTGGATTACAGACATGAGCTCAAGAGTTTAACACCTGACAATATTAAAGCACTCTGCCAGCAGGTATCCAGAGACCAGGCGGCTGAAACAGTTAGCTATGCAGAAGCTCTGTGTGTTCCTCCATCTGCTATGCCAGAATGTTATGTTTTTCTAACCCATTTAGATCTTGGCTGTTTGACTCAGATGAGCAGAACAGATCTTATTAAGGCATAAGACCATGACCAAATGATCTCATCTGTCAAAAAGTCCTTAAGTGGAAGGTCAGCATCTTCGTCTGAGAAGTGCACTAACCATGGGGCTATTGGCCTGCAAAGAGAAGCAAGCAAGCTTGTCCTGGTGGATGGATTGCTTCACAGAAAGATTATAAGACCACCTAGTACAGAAGTGCTGCAGCTTGTTCTACCCAGAGAACATGTTCCCATAGTGCTCAAGTCCCTCCATGATGAATCAGGCCATCTTGGAGTGGAAAAGACACTTGAGTTGATTCGCAACAGATTCTACTGGCCTAAAATGGGGTCAGAAGTGGAGCAGTATGTGAAAACATGTGGTTGATGCATTACCCGTAAGGCATTGCCACAGCGAGCAGCTCCTTTGAATAAGATCACCAGCAGGGGACCACTTGATTTAGTCTGCATTGACTTCCTGTCCCTCGAGCCTGATTCGAAAGGATATGCAAATATCCTTGTGGTGACTGATCATTTTACAAGGTATGCTCAGGCGTTTCCGGCTAAAGACCAACAAGCATCCACAGTGGCCAAGCTCTTGTGTGAACGTTTCTTTGTTCATTATGGGCTTCCTGCACGGATACATTCTGATCAGGGACGTGATTTTGAAAGCAAGCTCATCCGTGATTTACTGAAAATGTTGGGGATCCGAAAATCCAGAACATCTCCTTATCATCCTCAGGGAGATCCTCAACCTGAGAGATTTAACCGAACATTGTTGTCCATGCTCGGGACTTGATCCCACTCAGAAACAGAGATGGAGTCAAAACGTCAGTCAGTTGGTGCATGCCTACAACTACACCCAAAACGAGGCAACCAGATATTCACCCTATCTCTTAATGTTTGGAAGGGAGGCTCGTCTTCCTGTGGACATCTGTTTCGGTGTATCAGATGAA